TGAGTGCGGCATCGATTGCATATGCGTACCAACATTGCAAAGTATGGCATCAGTATATATACGTTGTCAGGAGAAGAAGCAACGAGGTACTTGACAAGATTCTCAAAAAAAAAAAAAAAAAAAAAAAAAAAAAAAAAAAAAGCTACTTGACACTAGAGGTCATTATCTTGTGTTCAGTTTTCAATGTTTGATAACATCTATAGCTACCAAAGTAGTTTCGCCTCCAAAACATTCAGAAATGATCCGGACTATTTTTTATTCTCAATTTATGTGTGAGATATTGGAGCTCACCAAACTGGCTGCTAGGACGAGCAACATCTGCAGCAGCAAAAGGAAACCCGAAGTCGACCTCAATCGTAGTATCATTCTTTCAGATGTAGAACTCAGCTAGTGTTTCGCTGCATTAGATGCAAAAATCTTCGGCTGATGTTTAGGATTCACATATCTGGCTGATCTTTGGCTGCTGAACTGAATCTGCAGCAGTTAAATGATAACCCTGACGAAGTCAAAGGGGCGTAGAATGGATCTTTGGGTTCTTTTTCCACAAAATCTGTATACAATCATCTTACGAGAAGTGAATCGAGCCAAGGTTTCAGCCACATTATTTGTAAGGTCAATATTCCTGAACCAAAAATAGAATCAAATTCTTCCTGTGGCTTTTAGAAAATAATGCTATCCTGAGAAAAGAAAATGGAAAAAAAAAAGATAACATGTTTGTTAAAAAAAAAAGGGATAACATGATCAAAAGAAATTGGCATGACAAACCTACTTGCTATTTCTATGAGCAGCGTGAAACTGCTGATGAGTTAAAGTTTGGCGTGTGAGGCGATCTCCCGGCTTCCTCTTTTTCTCAAATTATTTTGATATCTGTTTAGTTCTTGAAGTATTGGAAGTAGAAATATCCGCTTCAAAAAAAAATCCAGTTGATGATTGACTCCTTGGTGGATATTTCTGTTCCTTGGATTCGTTTCAGTTGCCCTACCAAGTGAATCCCGGTTTGTATTTCAGAATCCCCACTGCTTGTGTTTTTAAGCTGGAAAGTTTGTAATTCGTTGTTATTGGCATGAAGTGAATGAACATCATGCACTGCGAACGTGCGCTCCTATTTAAATATTTTTCAAATTAGTAAAGATTAATATCAGAGCGACACGGTTCAAAAAAATAACCTCGCATTTTGGTACTTGATTGCTTTATTATCTGTTTCTACCTAATTTCTTTTGAGTTTCCCAAGTTCGTTGGCAAGTAGTGAAGTGTTCCATTGTTCAGCAAACACTGACACACTTGGAGAGAACAGCGGTATTGGCAGGCATGTAGAAGTACCCATAGCAGCAGCATTGTCGAAATCATACTTGTTGTCTGTTGGACACAGAAATAGCATGTATGCCCATTGCAATGCATGATAGCTGAAAAAATATACTACACGCATTTCATGCACCTTCTCTGTTCTGCTTCTATGCCTTTCATGAGCAACCTCTTGTGCCTGGTTGAGTTTTGTTTGAGGCATTGGAGCAAGACAAAGTCAGCAAAATTTAGAGCGAGATTCAGAGCAGATAGGTTTTATTCTCTTCTTGCATGGCATCTAGGTGTTCAATGGAACACACGTCGTTCGTGTTTCAAAAGCCATCAAGCTAGAGGTGCTTGACACTGTCAGCGTGACCCATTGTCGCAGATGTATAGATACTGAAAGGCTTCCCTGAACAATATATGGATGGCTTGGCTCCACCTCTTTAGTTTTGCTCCTCGTTAGCAAGATCAAAAGGTGAGGAGATGAAATTATTAGGCACTAAAATGTTTGGTAAATTATTTTGCAGCAAGAGGACGAGCAACATCTGCAGCCACAAAAGGAAAACCGAAGCTCATCTGCTTCAGATGTAGAACTAAGCTTGGACCTCGTTGCATTCGATGCAAAATTACTCTGCTGATGGTTGACTCGTGGGTGGATTCTTCTGTTCCTTAGATTCGTTTCAGTTGCCTTGCCGAGTGAATCCAGTTTGTATTTTCAGAATCCGCACTGCTTGTGTTCCAAGCTGGTAAGTTCATAGCTTGTTGTTATCGGCATGAAATGAATGAACAGCTTATAATGCGAATGTGTGCTCCTCTTTTAACTTGTCATCTAACTCACACGATTTGCATGTGCAAATTGCACGGATATCCATTTCTAAAAAAAAATGCACGGGGTATCCATGTCTTATGATTCGGTACCTGGCAACCCAACTTGTAAACTGCCAGGAGAAGTTTCACCCTGATTTGCAGACAGGTCTCCGGTTCTCAGGCTCACATTTATGGCGTCCTTAGTGCAATTTAGCAGTACACGTTTTGACTGCATTCTTGCCTTCCTTGAGAAATGTTGTGTTTCTCTGACGAGTCAAACGAAGCATGTTACCGACGCAGTCCATGCTGAGGAAATGCGGTGTGCCGCCGATTTCCATTGCGGTCGCAAAACAGAGCAGGACGCCATGCCACCCACCCACGCTAGAAGTGTCATACCCAATTTCTGGAACATGTTGTGCATTAAGTATCAATCCCTGGATCAGTAGCTGATACGCACAAGAACACAGATATAATAATCAAAAGCTTCCTTCGATTAGGTAAAATAGTATATTACCTGATACAGAGCCTTTAGTGGCGGTACGACGAGGATTCAGAAGTATCCAAGTCCTTCCGACCGACTAATGGCTGAGCAGACAAACAGCGGAAACACGGCCCAAGCCACAAGCAGACTTGAGAGGCAGAACGAAAACCAGACGTCGTCGTCTCCTACGAAGACTTCTCTTACTAAAAACAATAAACGCAAACGATCCGTTTATCGGCGACGAAACTTGGCGGGTACGGCAGCTCCGGCAGGGCGGCAGGAGCAGCGGAGGCGGGTCGGCGGCCGGGCCCGGGCGCGGTGGCGCGCCACGCGGAGGAAGAAGCTGACGGGCGGGGCCCGCACGTCAGTGAGAAGGAAAGGAGGGAAAAGGAGGGAGGAGGGCGCGGGCTGGAGCAGGCCGTGAGAAGCTGGGCCGAAGCAGGCCGCGGGGAAGGGAAGGGGAAGAGAAAAGTGAACCGGGCCGGGAAGAAGGGAAAGGGGAGATTCGGCCCAGGTGAAGGTAGAATAAGGGAATCGTTTAATCTTTTCCCGAATTCAAATTCTATTGGGATTTCAAATTTTAAAGAAGGCAAGATTCAAATAAATATACAAGTAAACCAGATAAAAAATGCAAGAATGCATATGATGAGGTTTTGCAAGGTTTCAAAATTCAAAATTTTAAAATTCAGAGTGTATTAGCTCAAACTAGGTCAAATTTATTTAATTTGTTGTAAATTCCAAAAGTTCAAATTTTAGTGAACTTTAAATGAACACAAGCACTTGAGCACATATTTTATATTCCAAAAATTTCAAATTCAAACTAGGTTCAATTATTTAGTGAAATTTTATTTTGGAAAATTCATGGAAGGTAAGAGTTTAGAAAATGATCAAATTTGGAGTGAATTTTATCTCTTTTGAACTTAATTATTTATTTATTTTTCTTCTTTTCTTTTTCTTTTGACTCTGAAAAGTAGGGTATTACAGATCTACCCCACTTAAAAGAAATCTCGTCCTCGAGATTTGAAAGATCTTCTGGATGGAGCAGAACTTCTCTTGGGTCTTCGTACTTGACGGTTGTGACATCCCAAGCTTTGTTGAAGGCTTCTTAACATCGTGAGCGTTGATAGAAGATTCTCTTCATTGCAAAGCATATAGATGGACAGAGCTTCTTGCTTCTGTTGATCTCCCACGTTGGTTGCTTCAACACAAGAAGGCAGGCTTGAGGTTTTGATTTCTAGGGGTTTGTTATGTTATTATTATTCCATTAAGCTAGCTGACTGAAAATCCTACCCCACTTAAAGGATTTTCACTCGGGGTTCTTTGGTTGATGCTGCATGGTTGCCTTGAGTTCTGGTCATCTCGGGGCATTTCACGGGGCGAGATTGTTAGTTGACTTCACCACTTCTCCTGTGAAGGGGGTGATGATTCTGAGCTTTCTGATTCATGCAGGGTACGGCAGGTTGACTGTCTTCACCAGTCTCTCGTGTGATCTGAACCACTGTTTCTTTTCTGATGTGCTGACACTTTCTTTGTTTATCGTGATGGGATCACCATCCTGACATCCCGTCATAGCAATCCAGGGATCTTCATGACAAGTAACCACTTCTGAGGTATATACATGGGCCTTAACCTGAGGGTTTCTCATTTCTGTGGCCTTAGGGGTGGGGGTACCTACCCCACTTAAGGTCGTTGACCTCGAGTTACTTCTGTTGACATGCAAGGCTTAACAGCCGTTTGGGTGCATGATCCCTTAACGGGAATTTTATTCCCATCATAGAGACTTAGCCAGTAAACTGTTTCCCAGAGATGCATCACTGGCTTATTCTGAGGATACTGTTACCGTTATATCTCTTTTTCGAGGGTCATCTGGGTCTGCCTATGTGGTACAGACATTTGGGGTCCTTTAGGTCATATACCAGATGGTTGTGTCTTGACACCATCTTTATGGTTATTTGGTTCTGAGTATCCCGAAAGGGGCTCAGCACTTTAGGCTCTTAATTGGCCTGGTTGAGAGCTAACTGCTTGAAGTCTGCCAATAGCTCAGATGCGCTTCTCTGCATCTCGTCATGGGGCAGTGACGGCTGTGATCTAGTGCATTTTATTACCACATTGGCCTTTCCGTGAGGCTTAGGACTTCAGGTCCTCCCATAAGTGACTTTTCCAATTGCTTTCTCTCAGTCTGTCCAATTCGGACTAAGCATGCATATATTCCAACACTGTTTCTTATACTGATGTTCTCACCTTGCGGAGTTTTGTCAACTTTTGCGTTGGAATTTCACGGTATATTGCTTTTAATACCATGTGTCTCTGCTGGAGATCATGACGAGTGATAGAAGGCTGTCATGGATGCGTCTCATTCTCGAACTTCCTACTTGTGGTACTTGGACTCTCAAGTCAGTCTTAGAGACAGACTTGAACTTTCTTTAACTAGCCAATCCAGTCCTTCGATCCTGGGCTGTGGGTTATGGGCCCACTACGCTTCCGCTGCGCTACTCTGATAGTGGCTTTTGACCATTGAGGACCTGTTCTGGAACTAGCCCAATGAGGAACTCCTTTGTCTTCGTTAAGTAGCTTACTGGTGACTTATCTGGAAAACTTCTGGGTACTCATATATTACCAGTGCTTTTCCCCAAGGGTTTGGTTTTCATGTCTTTGCCATATAGGCAACTTTTGATCCTTCTGGTTCATGTTACACTTCAGTCCATGTCACTGGTGATCTTTTTCGGATCTCATTCAGGGAGATTCCCGAGGTATCCATTAATAACCAACAGATCTTTGTCAGTGCTGTCATGGACCAGTGATGTGAGCTTCGTCTTTGACAGGGTTCCCTCACTGTGGAGGTTCCATAATTACGGGCTGTGAGTTCTTGCTGTCCGGTTGATAAGGGGCCATCGAACTTTGAATTGGGTCAACCATGATGGCGACTGAGACCTATTGTCATTATCTCAACTGTCATTTGCTTCACTTTCTTGGTTAAGCTTTCTTTTACGTGTTGTTGGTTGACAAGTGGCTGACATCTTGATACTTTGGTTGCTCTTATTTTTTTGATTTTTGTTGTTATAATGTTTGGTTTGATTAGGGTCACTCAATCATAGAAACACCGAACAAGATCAACAAGAACCATCGAATCACTCAAACAACACGATTTGTTTGTTGTGGGTTGAGGTGTTAGCGTACTAAGATCGAGGCTTAAGGCTTATGGGTAGGTAGACTATCGATTTCTTCTGCTAGCATCAAAACTCGACCAATAGTCTTGACCAAAAAGAATCGAGGGGGTCACATGACTTGGTCGGTTAAAAGGAAAACTGTTGCCCACATTTCTGTGGTAAAAGACTTCATTGCTTTGACGTATTGACGTTATCTGGGTACGTCCTGCTTGATCATTGAGTTCTTTGAGCTTTCACTTCTCAACTCGACCTTTCTCGAGCTAAGGTTGTGACTTAAATCCATATTTAAATTAGGGCATCACTGATACTCTTTTATTATTTATAGATCATCTTACAGTTCTAGTCCAATCCATTTTGTCAAACCATAAGGTGCCTTACAAGTACAACCATTATTCTGCATGGTTTCTACAGCTCTTGCATGAGGATAGCGTCCTTTCATGGTGCTGAGCGAAGCTCTAAATCACCATCATGTAGGACCTACTCATGGGATTCTGGCACATATAACATGGCTGCTTGTTGGCGGAGCCTGGCTACCTTGCAATCCTGGGCATCAATTATTGATGTCATTATTTCCCTTATTCACGGGCTTCAGTGTAATCCGCTGCAAAGTGCCCATGCTCCCGACATATATAACATTTCTGGTTTGCTCGTGGTGTCCTCCGGTACATCTGAGATGGCAAACTGGTACTGCTTGGGTGGTCGTGCTCATGGGTCTGTTGGGAAAAGATAGGTCCTCGTTTGTAGAAAGGACAACTGGCTATCATGTGCTCTAGATCTTTGCAGTGGTAACAGTGTCTTGGCTTCTTGATCTTTTCGCGCGTGACTCGATCGGAGGCTCGCTTGTTCTTCTTTCTCTTCTGTTTGCGGCTCTTGATAGTGTTCTGGGGCTGCACGTCTCGTGTAGGATGGATGACTCTGTCATACCCCAATTTCTGAGGTACTTGAATCCACCGTATCAGTCCCTGGATCAGACGCTGATACGGACATTCTCACAGAATGGCATTTCAGAGTCATACCTTTATTTATTACCGAAGCTCATTACAAGCCTTTTGACTACATAAAAGGTCTTTGATATGGCCAGAGGCCTTACAACTCAACACATCACACCACAAGGGCCATCGCTGGGAAGCAGCAATGCCACACTTTATTCTACGCAACGGACGGCGAAAGCAGATCCACTCCACTGGCAAACTTGCGCGTGATGACCCTAGTCTTCTTCGCCATCGGCTTGAAAGTCGTATTCTGCTTCTTCCTCTGAATGATGGATTGAGATGGGGAGTGAGTACATAAGGTACTCAACAAGTCCTAACACAAGGGTGACTCATATGCAAGGGTGTTGCCAAGGAATAGGCTGAGGGTTTCCATTGATCGGTCGAAAAGCCAATTTTCAATGCAAGGGTTTGTTTTGCAAACCAAAACATTTTGTAAAGATCTAAGTCAACATTGATAAGAACTTAGTGGGTTTGAGTGGCCCTGGGGGAGAATAAATCCTTCCCGCCAGTTCCCAAATTTTAACGCTGGCCGACAACCAGCACACGGCTCCAAACCGGCGTTATTCCAAAAACACACACGCCAAGGATAACTCACACGGAAAAAAATCTAATCATTGTGTGGCCATTGCTTTCGCTTTGTCCAATGCCGTGGAACACGGCTATCCGGATAGGTTCTATACTCTGCAGAGGTTGTACACTTTACCCACGAGGCATGCCAGACCTTCCCACCGTTGTGGGTCGGAAAGACACGCTAATGGTTCCGTACCTGCCTAATGTCACCACGGTACCACCTCGGAAAATCAACGACCAGGGGCTTCACATAGGCATAGCATAGCCAATAACTTTCACTTGCCGTATCCGACGCTAATCTCGTCAAGATCTTCTCCTGGCTTCCGATTGCAACTCCCTGCCTCCTGGTGGTACCGGGCGATCACTAGTAGGGTGTGGTTCCAAACCCTGCCCATACAGGGGCTCGTGGTTGCACCAAGGTGCTAGGCAAGGCGGCACATGAACCGGTCCTTATATGACCGAAGCAAGCATCTTCAATAGCTACCAGGGTGCGTGGCAGCGGCTGACATGCGGGCCAGCTGGGGCCGGGGGTCCTGGCCGTTACTGTTCTGTGGACTCGGTCCACAGAGGCGTGGACCGAGCCTGCGCGTGTGTGTGGTGCACGTGGGCCACGTGCACCACGTGTGTGCGCTACGTGGCGGGGTGTGCCGATGCGGCGCCGACGTGGCCGCCACGCGGACGCCACACGGTCTCAACGCGGCGCGGCGGCTCCGACGCGGCGGAGGCGGGGGAAAAGTTCCCCGCCTCGCCGGAGAGCTCGCCGAAGAGAAGGTGGCACTGGTCAGAGAATGGAGAGCTCTACGTCTTGCATTTCTTAACGCGGGCTAGCCCCGAGTGCGCGAGGAGGATGGAGAGGGGGCGCAAAGGAGAGAGCGGGGAGTGGAGGTGCTCACCTTGGGCCCGGTGGGAGCGGGGAGCGTTAGGAGGCGGCGGAATCGCTCGTCGGAGCTTGGCCGGATTTGGGGAAAGAGAAGCGCTGGGCTTGGCTGTGTGGAGCGGGGGAGTGGGAGAGAGAGCGAAGTGTCAGAGAGATGGAAGGGAGAGCTCGGCGCTCTATTTATGGCCGCGTAGAGGCAGTGCTGGCCGGGAAATATCCCGAGTTCGTCGGGATATTTCCACCGGAGTTCGAGGTGGCGCGCGGCGCGAGAGTGGGGGACGGGGACGAGATGATGTCCACGCGGCGCGGAGGTGAGGGGGCCCTGGACGTGCACACGACAGCGTGGGGCGGCGCCTCTACGCGAGCTCGGTCGGGCGGCGCAAAGACTCGCCGGAGTGATGGAGCTAGGGTTAGGCTTTATGATGATGTCGCGGGAGGGGAGAGGGGTCCGGACGGGGAGTGCGAGAGAGCGGCGCGCGCGACGCGTGGGGGAAGAGAGAGGGAGCACGGCGGCGGGGCTGTAACTCCCGTGCCTCGCGCCGGCCGGTCGGGCGGCGGCGGCGGCGCGAGGTTGACGAAGGGGCTGGCCCCACTCGTCAGCCTCTCGCGGCTGCGGACGGGCCGGGCGGAGCTGGGCCACGGCGCACGGACGGCCCAGTGGCCTGGCGCGGGAGGAAAAGAGAAGAGGAGAGATGGGCCGGGCGCGGGAGAAAGGGGAGAGGCGGCCCATTAAGCAAAGAATTGCTTATCTTTTTCTGGGTTTGGATTTTTGGATGAAATTCAAAAGAATTTGAATTCAAATTTGAGATTGGGTTTCAACACTCACTCAAACAATTAAATAAAGGCAATAAAAAGGCAAAAATGCACATGAGTGTTTCATGCATGGTTTTAATTTCGAGAAAATTTTAATTGAGCCCTAATTGAGTCTAATCAATTATTTTAAGTTTGAAATTTTTTGAAAATCCACCTTTTAGGGTTTATCGACATGGCCAAAAATTACGGGTGCTACAGACCTACCCCACTTAAACAGAATCTCGTCCTCGAGATTCCGACTCGCTCTCGAACAGATACAGAAACTCTCTCTTGAGGTCATCTTCTCGTTCCCATGTGGCCTCTGCCTCAGTGTGATTGCTCCATTGCACTCGACAAAATCTTATGGCATTTCTTCTTGTTAGCCGAGTAGCAACATCCAATATCTTTATAGGTCTTTCCTGATATCGGAGATCAGGCTGGAGGTCCATTATTTCAGGGGGTACTACTTCTTCTGGGACCCTCAAACATTTCTTTAATTGGGAAACATGGAAGACGTTGTGTACGTCAGACATCTCCTCAGGAAGTTCGAGACGGTATGCCACTTTTCCGATCCTCTCAAGTATCTTGAATGGTCCGATATACCTCGGGGCTAACTTTCCCCTAATCTGAAACCTTCGTGTACCTCGAATTGGCGATACCTTGAGATATACATAATCTCCTTTTTCGAAACTCAACTCTCTACGTCTTGTGTCTGCGTAGCTCTTCTGCCTGCTCTGGCTGCTTTCAGATTTTCTCTGACCAGTGCCACCTTCTCTTCGGCATCCCTGATGATGGCAGGTCCGAAAAGCGATCTTTCTCCTACTTCTGACCACATTAGTGGTGTTCTGCATTTCCTACCATACAATGCCTCAAATGGTGACATTTGCAGGCTTGTTTGGTAGCTATTGTTGTAGGAAAATTCTGCGAACGCCAAACTCTTTTCCCAGTCCCTTCCATAGACTAGGACGCATGCTCTCAACATATCCTCCAGAATTTGGTTTACTCTTTCTGTCTGTCCATCGGTTTGAGGATGATAGGCAGAGCTATAATCCAACTTGGTTTTTAGCAAACCATGTAAGCTCGTCCAAGATTTTGAAGTAA